AGGTGAGGGTGTGTGAATGAGGTGAGGGTGTGTGAATGTGGTGAGGGTGTGTGAATGAGGTGAGGGTGTGTGAATGCGGTGAGGGTGTGTGAATGCGGTGAGGGTGTGTGAATGCGGTGAGGGTGTGTGAATGAGGTGAGGGTGTGTGAATGCGGTGAGGGTGTGTGAATGCGGTGAGGGTGTGTGAATGCGGTGAGGGTGTGTGAATGAGGTGAGGGTGTGTGAATGAGGTATGCAGGGTGTGTGAATGCGGTGAGGGTGTGTGAATGCGGTGAGGGTGTGTGAATGACGTGAGGGTGTGTGAATGAGGTGAGGGTGTGTGAATGAGGTGAGGGTGTGTGAATGCGGTGAGGGTGTGTGAATGCGGTGAGGGTGTGTGAATGAGGTGAGGGTGTGTGAATGAGGTGAGGGTGTGTGAATGCGGTGAGGGTGTGTGAATGCGGTGAGGGTGTGTGAATGAGGTGAGGGTGTGTGAATGAGGTGAGGGTGTGTGAATGAGGTGAGGGTGTGTGAATGAGGTGAGGGTGTGTGAATGCGGTGAGGGTGTGTGAATGAGGTGAGGGTGTGTGAATGAGGTGAGGGTGTGTGAATGAGGTGAGGGTGTGTGAATGCGGTGAGGGTGTGTGAATGAAGTGAGGGTGTGTGAATGCGGTGAGGGTGTGTGAATGCGGTGAGGGTGTGTGAATGAGGTGAGGGTGTGTGAATGAGGTGAGGGTGTGTGAATGAGGTGAGGGTGTGTGAATACGGTGAGGGTGTGTGAATGCGGTGAGGGTGTGTGAATGCGGTGAGGGTGTGTGAATGAGGTGAGGGTGTGTGAATGAAGTGAGGGTGTGTGAATGAGGTGAGGGTGTGTGAATGAGGTGAGGGTGTGTGAATGCGGTGAGGGTGTGTGAATGAGGTGAGGGTGTGTGAATGCGGTGAGGGTGTGTGAATGAGGTGAGGGTGTGTGAATGAGGTGAGGGTGTGTGAATGCGGTGAGGGTGTGTGAATGAGGTGAGGGTGTGTGAATGAGGTGAGGGTGTGTGAATGAGGTGAGGGTGTGTGAATGCGGTGAGGGTGTGTGAATGCGGTGAGGGTGTGTGAATGAGGTGAGGGTGTGTGAATGAGGTGAGGGTGTGTGAATGCGGTGAGGGTGTGTGAATGCGGTGAAGGTGTGTGAATGCGGTGAGGGTGTGTGAATGAGGTGAGGGTGTGTGAATGAGGTGAGGGTGTGTGAATGCGGTGAGGGTGTGTGAATGCGGTGAGGGTGTGTGAATGCGGTGAGGGTGTGTGAATGCGGTGAGGGTGTGTGAATGCGGTGAGGGTGTGTGAATGAGGTGAGGGTGTGTGAATGAGGTGAGGGTGTGTGAATGAGGTGAGGGTGTGTGAATGCGGTGAGGGTGTGTGAATGAGGTAAGGGTGTGTGAATGCGGTGAGGGTGTGTGAATGAGGTGAGGGTGTGTGAATGAGGTGAGGGTGTGTGAATGCGGTGAGGGTGTGTGAATGCGGTGAGGGTGTGTGAATGCGGTGAGGGTGTGTGAATGCGGTGAGGGTGTGTGAATGCAGCAAGGGTGTGTGAATGCGGTGAGGGTGTGTGAATGAGGTGAGGGTGTGTGAATGAGGTGAGGGTGTGTGAATGCGGTGAGGGTGTGTGAATGAAGTGAGGGTGTGTGAATGAGGTGAGGGTGTGTGAATGCGGTGAGGGTGTGTGAATGCGGTGAGGGTGTGTGAATGCGGTGAGGGTGTGTGAATGCGGTGAGGGTGTGTGAATGAGGTGAGGGTGTGTGAATGAGGTGAGGGTGTGTGAATGCGGTGAGGGTGTGTGAATGCGGTGAGGGTGTGTGAATGAGGTGAGGGTGTGTGAATGAGGTGAGGGTGTGTGAATGAGGTGAGGGTGTGTGAATGCGGTGAGGGTGTGTGAATGAGGTGAGGGTGTGTGAATGAGGTGAGGGTGTGTGAATGAGGTGAGGGTGTGTGAATGCGGTGAGGGTGTGTGAATGAGGTAAGGGTGTGTGAATGAGGTGAGGGTGTGTGAATGCGGTGAGGGTGTGTGAATGAGGTGAGGGTGTGTGAATGAGGTGAGGGTGTGTGAATGAGGTGAGGGTGTGTGAATGAGGTGAGGGTGTGTGAATGCGGTGAGGGTGTGTGAATGCGGTGAGGGTGTGTGAATGAGGTGAGGGTGTGTGAATGAGGTGAGGGTGTGTGAATGCGGTGAGGGTGTGTGAATGAGGTGAGGGTGTGTGAATGAGGTGAGGGTGTGTGAATGCGGTGAGGGTGTGTGAATGAGGTGAGGGTGTGTGAATGCGGTGAGGGTGTGTGAATGCGGTGAGGGTGTGTGAATGAGGTGAGGGTGTGTGAATGAGGTGAGGGTGTGTGAATGCGGTGAGGGTGTGTGAATGAGGTGAGGGTGTGTGAATGCGGTGAGGGTGTGTGAATGCGGTGAGGGTGTGTGAATGAGGTGAGGGTGTGTGAATGCGGTGAGGGTGTGTGAATGAAGTGAGGGTGTGTGAATGCGGTGAGGGTGTGTGAATGCGGTGAGGGTGTGTGAATGAGGTGAGGGTGTGTGAATGCGGTGAGGGTGTGTGAATGCGGTGAGGGTGTGTGAATGCGGTGAGGGTGTGTGAATGCGGTGAGGGTGTGTGAATGAGGTGAGGGTGTGTGAATGCGGTGAGGGTGTGTGAATGAAGTGAGGGTGTGTGAATGCGGTGAGGGTGTGTGAATGAGGTGAGGGTGTGTGAATGAGGTGAGGGTGTGTGAATGCGGTGAGGGTGTGTGAATGCGGTGAGGGTGTGTGAATGAGGTGAGGGTGTGTGAATGAGGTGAGGGTGTGTGAATGCGGTGAGGGTGTGTGAATGCGGTGAGGGTGTGTGAATGAGGTGAGGGTGTGTGAATGAGGTGAGGGTGTGTGAATGAGGTGAGGGTGTGTGAATGAGGTGAGGGTGTGTGAATGCGGTGAGGGTGTGTGAATGCGGTGAGGGTGTGTGCAAGTAGCAGCATTGGCTGGTCCATACCACAAGGAGTATTACTGGGACCTGCTAGAAGCGCTGGAGGGGGAAGAGGTGAGGAGCATGTTATGTGTTGCCTCTGTAGTCACCGTGGTGGGGATCGAACGATCTGTACCACAAGAGTACAACCGGGACCTGCTAGAAGCACTGGAGGGGGAAGAGGTGAGAAGGGTATGTGTAAGGAGTGTGTGTGAATAGGTGAGGGTGTGTGTGTAAGAAGAGGGGTTGTGAATGAGGTGAGGAACAGCAAAGCAGCAGCGTTGGCTGGTTGAGATCGATTCATACCACATCCCTCCAGTGCTTCTAGCTGGCGTATTATCGGGACCTGCTAGAAGCACTGGAGGGATGTGCTAAGGATGTGCTGAGGATGAGGGGGTTGAGTGCCCCGCGTGGGGGTGAGTGCCCATGTGTGTCTAACCCCCAACCTTAGGTATCCAATTTTGTCCACTCTTTTGTCTCGCCCATCTTTGCACCTCCACACATCGCCCCCATCTCCAATTCACCCCATCAGGACACACCCACCACAATCAACACCACCAATGTTGGCAGCAGCACCACCACCAACGCCGCCAGCAGCGGCACCACCAGCACCACAGTGTGTCTGTCCCATCGACAGCTCTCTTGCCTGCCAGCACCCCATTGCCTGCTGCCAGTCTCCACGCTGCTTCTCGACCACAACCGACTTTCTGCCATCACAGGTACGCTGTTTGTGGCCCTCTCCCTTCCCACAAGCACCGGCACCACAGTGTGTCTGTCCCATAAAAGCCTCTCCTGCCTGCCAGCACCCCATCGCCTGCTGCCAGTCTCCACACTGCTCCTCGTACACAACCGCATTTCTACCATCACAGGTACGCTGTCTGTAGCGATTGACACCGCCAAACCTCTCCACGATGCAATTGCCAAACCCCTGCCTTCCCATCCCCTTTCCCATCCCCTACCCTCTCCCAACCCGCGCAGGTTTCGAGGCTCTTCAGAATCTACAAGTGCTAGACCTCTCTCACAACCGCATCGCCTTCTCCTCAGCCATAGCCCCGCTCGCCCTCCTCCCTTCCCTCCGCACTCTCTCCCTCGCTCACAACCTCCTGGGAGCCAAACCAATCGACCGCCACCGCTACTGTCACCCCTCCCCCCGATGCAACCGGTTCCCCTATTGGCACACACCAAGTTACAGCATGGGGAAGGAAGGTCCTGGTATGGCTACCAGTAGGACAGGGAGTCCTTCACCTGCCGAACCTGCTGCCGAAGCTGCTGGCGAAGCAGCAGCAGCTGCAACTGTGGATCTGGTTCGGCAGCATCCGAACCTGTGGGCAGTGCTGCAGTGCCTAGGCGGGCTGCGCCAGGTGGCAGTGCTTGATTTGACGGGGAATCCTGTGTGTCAGTGGGATGGGTATCGGGAACTGGTTCTTTCCCTGCTGCCACAGCTGGTGGTCTTTGATGGAAACCCTGCGTGAGTGCTGGCGCTGACATGCTGCCACTAAAATGCTGCTGCTGCTGCTTCTCCTGATGCGGCTGCGGTTGGTTCATTCTCTGCTGCCATAGTTGGTGATCAATGGAGAGTGTGGGGATGAGGATGGGGGAGGATACTGCTCCAAGCACTACTGCAGCAGCCCGTCACACTTCAAAGTTTCAACTCTCAGTCTGCATTTGGTCTTCCCAGATTACCCGCGTTGGTGCCTTAGCAGGTTGACACTGATTCACAACGTGACCTAGAATCAACGATCAAGATGGTCAGCTTGAGTTACCGTATTTCTGTGAATGTGGGGCCCTTCGCACAAGCATGTGAGCGTCGTTGTTACTGCTGGTAGTGTTTGTCCTTCCAGCAAGCAACTTTAATATCATTGAAGCAAACCCTTGCTGATGGATGGAACATTACAAAAGCATTCTCCCTGCTAGCCTAGTCTGCACTACCCAGCTGCACGTATTTACTAGTGTAGCTGCACACATGAGCCGTGCTTCTGCAATGTTCCCCCACCACCCCCATCATCTTCCACCGTCCTTGTTGAAATGCAGTGCAAGTCACACTCTTCCACCCATCATTCTCCCTGACAGTGTCCCATTTTCCCCTGAGAATCCAATGTACAGGTCATCATTGGTGATCCCTTGGATCGACGCCAGCACATCCGCCACGTCAGCAGCGGACGCCCTGACGGCATTGGCCAACGACCACGACACAGGGCTCATGGGCACCCACGTGCCAGGCAGGGCCAGGGCTGCTGAAGCAGCAGCGGTGCCGCAGGCGCTGCCCTTGACAATGGCCTGCGGGTCCGGGGCCTTGGTCACTCCTGCTACGTACAGGTAGTATGTGAGCATGTAGTTCGAGCCACTGCATTGGGGGCAAGGAAGGTAGCAGAGAGGAGGGTAGGAGAATTAGCATGAGATAGGGACCAATGTTTACAGTGGAATGGTGTAGAGCAAAAACAAATAAGAAAGCCTGGTGGGTAGGGGAACTGCTGGACAGTGTGTCAACGTGAGTCAACAGGAGTCAACGCGAGTCAACTCACATCTTGAGGATCTGAATGTCAGCAGCGCCAGCTTGGAGAGACAGCAGGCCATTGCATGACGTCAGCACAGCACGCAGCATGCCCGCCTGCTGGGGCAGAAGATTCGCGAGATTCCCCACCACGCCGCCGCTCACGCCGCCGCCGTTCAATCCCCCATTCAAAGCGCCATTCAAAGCGTCGTTCAGAGCGCCGTTCAGAGTGCTGCTCAGCGCGCTGTGCAAGTCGGTCACCATCCCGGCGAGCGCGGACACGTTCCCGTTGAGCCCCGCCACTCGCTGCGTCACAGCCGTCAGCCGCTGCCTCAACGCCGCGCGGATCGCCGCGCTCGCACTCGCGGAAGCCGCCCCGGCTGCTGGACGCAATGCGCCCGCCAAGCCTGCGCCCGAGCCTACGCGCGAGCCGAGTATCCCGGCCAGGTCCTTGTTCAGAGCGGTGATGCCGGTGCTGATGGAGGAAATGTTGGATCGAATCCCGGAGATCTGGGAGGAAATCAAATCCGTGTTCAAATCCGATCCTGAGATGTTCAGCGATTTAAGATTGACGAGGCTCTCGTTTAGCGCAGCGAGGTTGGCTTTTAGCGCGGATATCTGCGTCTTCTGCAGCTGACGGGCTGCTTTTGACAGCCGCCGAGATCTTCTCGAGCGATTTCTTGAGAATCGTGTCGAGAGACGTAATCTGACCGTTGAGGGACGACTGGAGGCCGGAGAGCATTGAGTTGAGCGCCGCTGCGGGGTTAATGCTGCTGGCTGCTGCGCCTGCCGACGCGACGGCTGAATTCAAGCCGGGTGGAAGACGGTTGGTGGGAATATTGCCGGCGCTGGGGAGAAACCGGCCTGCTTCGACTCGTTGTGTTGCCAAAAGAACTGAAATGTTTGGAAAAAGGAGGAGATGAGTTTTTGAGGACGTTTTGCAAGTACGTGGAAACTGATTTCATCCTTATTGCGTGAACGTTATTAGTTCAGAGCTGACAGCCCAAAGGTTAGCAAACACGCCGGCGAAATGGCTCACCTGTGACGAGCAGAGCGAAAAGCCCTAGCGTGGAAGGAGCTGCAGTGCGTGCCATAATGATTTTCGAGCTAACTATGAAGCGAATTACGCAGAGATTTTGATAGAGGTGCCACGAGATATCTCAGACAGGCTCTCGAGATATGCCACGGAACGAGACGAGAGGCGTAGTGAGCAGCTCGTAATAAGAAATGAAAACGGAATGCGTAAGCTGTGAGCGTGGTGCTATTAAGTAGTCGAATGCTGAGGCTGATTTGCGATGTTGAGTTGATGCTCAAATGAATTTCTGGCGCTCCGTTTATATGTTTATGAGAGAGCGGATGGGGTGTGGGGCCCTTCGATTTGCACGAAGCTGGTGTAACTCGAAATTCGGGAATTTCAGCGCGGACCGCGGATTGCGTGCCTCTGATTGGCTTAGCTTCTACCGTCGGGTCGCACGCGGGGTGGCTGGCTAGAGGTCGGTGGACCTGAGGCATAGTCGGAGGCTGCAGCGGAGTGAGAGAATTTTCGGTGCGGTGCTGTGGTGTGCTTTTGACGGTGGGTGGGGGTGGGGGGAGCAACAGAACCAGCCAACCAGAAGTCAGGCAACAGACCAATGGATTCTCGTTGACGGGATGCTTCGCTTGAAGGTCGAAAGTTTCGCAATCGTGTTCACCTTGAGATGACGAAGGAAAATTGTTAATTACACGGGAGTTGCAAAAAGCTGTCGCACTTATTCCTTTTTTATGAAGCACCCTGGTACCTCATTTGTATTACGGGACATCTGGCTGTGGTGGAGAGGACTGGGTATTTTCTGGTAGAGAATGGAAGCTCAATCCTCTTCCCATTCTGCCCCATGCCCCTTGCATCTCCAACCTAGCACATGCTTGACGAGTGACAACTTCAAGAGTCAAACCTCCAACGACTGCCGCAGATGCAGGGCCCGTGTGCTACTTTGCTGCAGGTGCAGCACTTCACCTTAACCAACCATATGCAGGTGCAGGGCCCGTGTCCTACTTTGCTGCAGGCTTGAGCGTGATTATAAGGAATCCCGCAGGGTCAAATTTCGCCCCGATCACCTTCCCCTGAATGGCTCGGGGCAGCTCCACACACCGCCTCTGGTCCCCCGCCTCTACCAGCAGCTCTGCCCCGCCCTTCCACTGGTGATGGGTGGGGAGGGATGGTGGAGGAGAGGGCAGGAGAAGAGGGGGAGATGGGGGACATGGTGCAATCAGCATGTTAGGCAGCTCCACACACCGCCTCTGGTCCCCCGCCTCTACCAGCAGCTCTGCTCCGCCCTTCCACTGTGGATGGGTCAGGGAAGGACGGGCAAGATGGGAGGGAGGGAAATGCGGGGCAATCAGCACGATGCTGTAGTAGCAGCTCCACACACCGCCTCTCGTCCCCCGCCTCTACCAGCACCTCGGAAGCCAACCTAGCCTTTTGAGTCGACTCAGAAGTCACCTCGGAGCCAACCTAGCCCGACTCGCTCACCTGCTGCAGCTTGACCTCTTGCTTGTCGAATCCCGGCAGAAACAGACGAACCGTGCACGCTGCCACGTCCACGTCCACCGGCGGAGGAGCCTTCCCTGTACCTTCCCCATTCATAACCGCTACCGCTCCCTCGCTCATCTGCCCGGCCGCGGCCGCTACAGCTGCTGATGCCTCCTCTGACACCGCAGGCAGCTCCGCCACGGGCAGCGGAGAAACTTTTCTGCCAGCTCTGGGTTTACGGAACCTTGGACGTTTTTCTCAGAAACCCCTCCCTTGGCAGGGAGAAGGAAGACGCCTGAAGGGGAGACGCCTGCTTGCACTGCGCAGCCCCAGACGCGGCGACACGTGTCGACTGATGAGCGGCTCGCTGCGTCGGCCAATAGGAAGACGGACGTGCGGTAGGGGTCGGCGAATGCTGAGACGGCTTTCTGAGGGGTTGGGATGGGCAGGTGGGGTGGGAAGAGGAAGAGGATGAGAGGGGAAAGATTTGATGGAAAGAGTAAGGCATGGTGGGAAGGGGAGGAGCGGACAGGATCAGAGGAAGGGGTTTGACGAATTGAGTGGTATCAGAAACAGATAGCCGCAAGAAAGGGCGGCAGTAGTGTGTTACACACTGGCAGAAGCGTCAAAAGCCACTCCTTTGGACTTAGAGAGGAGGAGGGGGATTGCCTCACACATCTCTGCTGTTCTGTGCTGCCTGTTCGCCCCACAACTCAAACAGCGGCAGCACCACGCCACCAACAGCACCTCCCCCTCGTGGGCACCCACTCCCAGCACCCTGCCCTTTGTAGGACCCCAGTATGGGTCCGGCAGGCGAGCCACGGAGGGCAGAGCCACTTGGGCCATATGTCTCGCGACTCACAGAGAGGAATGAGTCGATCTTCTCCCATATCTCTGCCGTGCTGCGCTGCCCATCCTCCCCACCACTTCCACCACCGCCACTTCTTCTACTCCCTCTCCCCTCCCCTCTATGGAGGAGCCCACAATGGAGTCCAGCAGGCGGGCCACAGAGGGCAGAGCCACACGGCACTTGCAGAGAGGGCCCTAGCTACTCACAGAGAGGAAGGAGTCGAGCTTCTCCCATATATCTGCCGTGCTGCGCTGCCCATCCTCCCCACCACTTCCACCACCGCCACTTCTCCTACTCCCGCTCCCCTCCCCTCTATGGAGGAGCCCACAATGGAGTCCAGCAGGCGGGCCACAGAGGGCAGAGCCACACGGCACTTGCAGAGAGAGCCCTAGCTACTCACAGAGAGGAAGGAGTCGAGCTTCTCCCATATCTCTGCCGTGCTGCGCTGCTCATCCGCCCCACCCCCACCAGCACTGCCACTCCCTCCGCTCCCCCCTTTGGAGGAGGAGGCAACAATGGAGTCGAGCAGGCGGGCCACGGAAGGCAGGGCCACGCGGCCGATGTCTGTCCGCTCTGCCAGCGCTCGGAACCTCCTCAGGTACCACCTGGTTCGGATGGGTTGGGTTGGGCTGGGTTTGGGTTTGGGTTTGGAGGGGTTAGGCTGGGTTGCGCTCCACCACAAACAGCCACACCTCACCTGCTCTTTTCCGTGCTGCCCAGCATGTGCAGCACCTCCCAAGTGGTGGGTCCATCAAACACCACCACCTCCGCTTCCTCCTCCCCCCCATCCTCCTATACCACATTTCTTCACTGACCTTCACCACAACATACCATATTGTACCGCACTCCCAACCACACCTCACTTGCTCTTCTCTGGGCTGGCCAGCGTCCGCCACCTCCGCCTCCCCCGTTCGTTCACCCTCCGGTATACCACATTCCTGCACTGCACTCCACCATAGTCTACCACATTCCATTGTACTCCACCACACTCAACTGCACTGAACCGCGCCTCACCTGGCTTTTTCCGGGCCGGCCAGCATTCGCAGCACCTCCCACGTGGTGGGTCCATCAAACAACACGTGGTGGGCGAGGATTTGGGGTATGAGAGTCAGGGGTTACAATCACATTCACCTCTGCCAGTGCGCCTTGTGTGATCCTCAGTCGCCCGTCTGCCTTCTTTATGACCTCAAGAGGCACCAGTAGCAGCTGACAGGGAAGGGAGGTAAGAAAGGGAGCACCACTAAAGAGATAAAAATGGAAAGGAAACGGCAAAGAGAGGGGACATGGCAGTATGGCGATGTTTCACTGGACACTAATGGTGATGGTAATACAAATTAATACAACATGGTTGGGAACAATGAGATGCGGTTCATGGTTGAAGGTAACTGGTGTCAAAAACGGAATGATGGATGTATTACTGTGAGTTGGGATAGATATACCTAACCCTAACAACTCTACTCCACATAACATGCCTCACTACAGACTACAACATTT